GCTCACTGTAATCTCAAATTCTTAGGCTCTAGTGATTCTCTTGCCTCAGCCTCCCAAGTAGCTGGGACTACAGGCGCCCGCCACAATGCCTATTTTTTTGTTGCAGTTATTTTAGCTGGCCCAGGCTGGGTTCGAAGCCTCCATCCTTGGTGTATGTGGCTAACACTGTAACCACTGTGCTACGGGCGCCAAGCCAGAGTTTATAGTTTTTTTATCTTGTGCACTATAGGCTTCAAATTCCTTTCTTTTTTAGTTGCTATTACCTTGTGCTTAGGGTGAGATCTAAGATCTGTGTTCTTGACCCCACCCTGTACTTTCAACCATCTCTGTATACTTTTGACATAGGTCTCCCTCCACGCACTTTTCCCTATCCCAACGGCAAACTGCTATTGTTTATTACTTGATGCTAAGATTGTTGTTGTGACAGTGGCATTTTGTTGTACTGATCCACTTTAAATCTTAAGCCAACTCTCTTCTGTTTGTGCTTAGGGGTGGTACTTCTAGGATTCCTATTCCTGTACCTTATGGCAACCAAACTGCCTTTTATTTGTTTGGTCTTGGATAGGATTTTTCTTCCCAGCATTAGCAGAGCTTTTCTTTGTATTGACACAGGATTTGGGGGCCCCAAATGATTTTCTGTCCCTCCCCCAGAGATGAAGGTATTATGTTTCTATTCCTCCCTCAGCAATACTGGATCTCTGCTTGTGTCCAAGGCTAGTGTTTCCTATGCTTCCCTCATTCCTTCCTTATATACAATGGACATGCTAACTCACACTTGGCCTTTAAAAATTTGTTAAAATATTAGTTGATTTCTCCCCGCTAAGCCTATGTTCTACTATAGGTGAAATACTTCATTTCACAGTTACTAATGTTCATTACCACAGTTAATGTGGTTAGCTTAAGGCCTCAGCTACTTGAGGGCTTAAAAAAAAATTACTTTCGTAGATTATCTGGCATTTTGTTGTAGAAGGAACACTCTCGTGTAGCTTCCTACATTGTAAGTGAAACCAGAACTATCATCTGCTTATCCTTACATATGAATTTTATACATTTCTTTTCCATTTTTGACTAGGATTTTACTAAAATTAACCACAGAAGACTGAACAACATTTTACTACTTGGTCTTTCCATCCAGAAATACTGGTTATTTCCACTCATTTATACCCTCCAGGTTCCTTATGATATGGATTCATGATTTGTTAAGTGATACTAACTTAAATTTCATATTGCTAAAGACACAAATGAGGTGGCGTCTAGTATTAAAACATAATTAAATATAGAAAAATCAGAAACTACTAAGGTTGGAACTAAATAATCATCTAAGTACCTAGGATAGTAATGAAAATCAAACATATTTAGCTTTAAGACTCCTAGAAGAAAAGATCAAAAGGGAAATAGTAAGTTATATAGTTTTCATAGTTTAATAGAAAGAGTACAATTTTATCTGGAGAGATTTTTCTTGCATTGACTCATAGTTAGATTTCTGTGTAGTTCCTTTTAGAAATAACAAAATAGAAAATGAATTCAACCATTGTTTTACACAAAATAGTGAAATGTCCTTCAATTGACTATCTTTCCTCACCTTAACAAAACAAGACACCTCCTATACTACTACATATTAATTGGAAAACAGGAATTCTAGATAATAAATGTGGAAAGTTTAAGTAATTCTGGCAAGTCTTTCTAATCAATTATTGAAAATATTTATTTAGACAAAACCTTTAGTTGGAAACAGTAGAAATGAAAGAAATATCACATCTTGTACAAACAGAATGCCATGCTGAGTTTAGCTCCATAATAAAAGCCACATAAATCTATGTGTGTGGCCAGAGACGGGGTTGTGGAGAAAAGAAAAAGAGAATTCAGAGAGAGGCAGAAGATAACTCTGTTTACGACAAATCTTATTTGGAAAGGAATGTCCAGAAAATCATAAGTTTGGATAGTGGTAGTCTATCAGCATGCCAGAGGTAGAACCAATACAATCTCCTGAAATAAAAGATTCCTGTTAGCTCTCAGGGTAACTTTCTAAGGTGGTTTCGTTCCACCAATGAATAAAGTTCCTAATTCTACACTAAGCTCATCCTTTGGAACATCAATCTCATCTCCTGGTTCTTCCCCAAGCTTCTTCCACCAAGGTGCCTGTATATGCTTCAGGGTGGTGTGATGGGCCTCCTTGGCCTTGGCTGCCACAGGCCTGGATCTACTTAGGAAGAGCTCAGGTTCTTTCCCTTCTGCCTCCTTCAGACTTGGTGCCTCTGTAGTAAACAGAAAATAAATAGGTGAGTAGAAAGAAGAGTCCTGTGCCAAGCAAATAGGAACTTAGAAACTGCAGAGCTAGAATGCTGCTATAATAGGCAGGGACAGGAATCCAACTCCGAATCTATTATCACTGCTAACTGTATAGTATACATTACCATATGGTATACAGTTGCAGGTGTGGCTTCTAGCAATTCTCCCACACCCTGGTCACTTCTGTGCTTAAAAAAAAAAATGAAAAGAAGATGTAGATTTTTGTCAGACAGTTTATTTAAAGAATAGGGACCTAAAAAAATACTAGTAGAATCTCATCCTTTGGCTCAGTTTCAGCCACTTATCTAATTCAAAAACATAATATTCACAAGTAATGGACATTAAATAGAGAACTCTGCACAACTGCCAAGATGTGGAAGCAACCCAAGTGCCCATCAACTCATGAATGGATTAACAAACTGTGGTGTATGTATACCATGGAGTACTATTCAGTCACAAGAAAAGATGAAGACTACATTTTTTGTGTTTACCTAGATGGAGTTCAAACATATTCTTCTTAGCAAAGTATCACAAGAATGGGGAAAAAAGTATCCAATATACTCAATATTAATACATAAACAATACATGCCCACATGAAATAAATGAATACATGAAAGAAACCAATACATAAACAACTACATGCCCACATGAAAGAAAAACACAAGTTAGCCTGGTGGGGGGTGGGGAGTGGCAAAGGAGGTAAAGGGGAGGGGAGAGGAGAGAGGGTGAATGACAGGATCTCACTTGATATACACAATGTGAGGGTGTCCTGCATGCCCCTGGGTGAAGGGCTCAACTAATCTTGAACTTTACCTTAGAAACAAAAACAATGTAACCTAAACATCCGTGCCTTCATATCAATCTGAAATAAAAAATTAATTAACTAATTAATTAAAAAAAATAGAGCGAACTCTGGCCCTTTCTGTCCACATACACTAAAGGAAATCCCAGAGGCTGATGAAACACTGTATGTGGCTTCCTGGATGAAATCTCTCATTAAATGAACCAGTAGTTGTAAGGCACAGATAAATTAATTTTTGTGAAAGCTCTTCATTACAAATTATATAGTTCTCTATAAGGGAATGGCACTTTAACTATTATCATCATCCATTTCTAAAATACAACCAAATATTTTTCAGATTACATAACAGAAACTAGATAGAAGGGTTCAGTATCTTTGAAGTTAATAACTTTGAGCTGGGTGAAGCAAGCAAGGAGATTATAAAATCTGTATCATCTGAAAGCACTGTATGCTGATATGCTAGAAATTTCTTGTGAATAGGAGATGAGCTAAAAATACCCCTAAATAGTGTTTTCTTTCTGAAGATTTTAGATGTCAAAGATCTTGGATAGGCTGTGTCTTTTAGGAAACTATAAAGGAATGAGCACATACTCATTAGTTGTTCGATATTGGTGCTGATCTGAGCCATCAAAGCCTCTCTGTGCTGTTGGGCTCTCTCTTCTAGGGCCCTGCCCATGAAGTAGTGTTGCAGTCGTTCCTGAGCGTGGGCATGGAGCTCCCTGCTGGCCACATCTGACAACTGAGAGCCCTGGACACAGGACAGAAAAATGTGTTATAGGAAGGACATAAGTATGTTTTACCCAACCACTTAGCAAAGGTTCCAGAATGCTTAGCTGTCTCTCATTTTATCTATTAAATCTTATATCTGATATCTCTACCTTGTACTTTTTTTGAGACAGAGTCTCACTATGTCACCTGTAGTAGACTGCTCACAGCAACCTCTCACACTTGGGCTTAAATGATTCTCTTGCCTCAGCCTCCCAAGTAGCTGAGACTACGGGTGCCTGTCACAAAGCTTGACTATTTTTTTTTGTTGTAGTTGTCATTGTAATTCAGCTGTCCTGAGCCAGGTTCAAACCTACCAGCCTTGGTGTATGTGGCTAGCACTATAACCACTGTGCTATGGGTGCCGAGCCTCCACCTTGTACTCTTGGGCAAATATTAAATAGTCTTTAAAAAACAGCATTAGATAAAAACACAGGTAGGTTAGTTTCTTTCTAGTATGTTCCCATACCTCACTTTCTCAGACAGTATGGTGTTATAGGAGGAGAGATAAGATTGAGAGATCACAGTGAAAATTATAAGTGGTTTGGTAAAGACCCTGGTTTGGAAGAGGTGTAACAACCCCAAACCCTTTGTTCTTGACCCCATCGGGAAAACTATCTTTTTATCCCATCCCCACTCTCAAACTTCTCTAAGCTATAATGTTATAACTGCTTCTGGCTTCATAAAACACAGGACAGAATCTTCCAAAGGACCATATTCTTTTGCCTAGTTGTTAGCTTAATGACTAGGCAAAAGTACTTAAGTGATTAATTGACTAGGCAACAGTACTTAAGTGATTAATTTGGACAAGGGTGAAATAATCTTAACATTAAAGCTGATAAAGATTCCTACAGCACAGCCTTCTCAGATATTCCAGTTCTTGGAACTGTTCTGCTTGTTCCAACTAATACTGTACAATTCAGCCATATAATCTTAAATAGTTGCACTAGAGTATGGCTAAAGCAGCACTTTTTAAAAATATAGGAGTATATATCAGAATTACATATAGTGTGTTAAAAAAAGAGATACAAAACATAAACATAGAGCTAAAGGTATAAAACTCTTAGGATACAACATAGAGGAAGCATCATACATTGGTTTGGGAAATGATTTCTTAGATATGACAGCAGAAACAAAAGAAGTAAAATGAAAAGTAGACAAAATAGACTTCACCAAAATTAAAGACTTTTGTGCACCAAAAGGACACTATCAACAAAGTAAAAAGGCAGCCCACAGAATGGCATAAAATACTTGCAAATCATCTATTTGATAAGGGATTCATATCCAGAATGTTAGAACTCCGGAAACTCAGTAACAAAAACACCAGATTAAAAAACAGAAGACCTGAATAGACATTTCTGCACAAAATTGCTCAAAATCACCAATTAGGGAAATGCAAGTTCAAAAGACAAAGAGATACCACTTTATATCCATTAGCTACTATCAACAAACTCCAGAAAATAACAAATATTGATGAATATGTGGATAAACTAGAAAACTGTGTACTATTTTGGTGGAAATGTAAAATGATACAGCTGCTATGGAAAACAGTATAGCAGTTCCTCAAAGAATTGACAATGAGAATTACTATATGGATCTATCAATTCATGGGCAGTGCCTATGGCTTAGTGGGTAGGGCGCCAGTTCCATATACTGAGGGTGGTGGGTTTGAACCTGGCCCCAGCCAAACAGCAACAAAAAAATAGCTGGTTGTTCTGGTAGGCACCTATAGTCCCAGCTACTCAGGAGGCTGAGGCAAGAGAATTGCTTAAGGGAAAAGGATATTTACACGATTATTAAATATCACCCCACAGATACCTATTCATTACAAATTGTGACAAAAAGATGTACTTTGTAATGCAGAAATTTGGTGGACACTGTCATAACCAAGTGATCAAACTTTGCCTCCTCGTTAACAGAATAGATGATTTTTTTTTGCCTTTTGTTGTAATGTACTGAGAAGACCACAACCTTACCTATGCTCTTGCCTGAATGTTTATCTTGACTCTACCATGAGAAAACAGTAAGATAAATACAGATTATGGGAAACTTGAAATAAGCTTTTCAAAACATCAATCAAAGGGAAAACAAAAGGTAGGGGAATGCCTGTAGATTAAAGAAGACTATAAAGATTTATAAAAACCAAAGTTACCATCCTTGATTGGGTACTGGGTCAAAAATAAAGGCAAAATCAAAATTAAAAAGGCACATGTTGGGGCCAATTGGAGACAACTGAGTATTGGATGGTATATTCAATGAAATTATTGTGTGTTAAATTTCTTGGGTATATAATGATATTATAATTATGTAGCAGAATGTACTTATTCTTAAGAGATCCTGGAGTTTGAAGGAGATGCTTACTGAAAGAATGAAATGTCCTGAGAGAGAAAGGGAATGTGGCAAAATGTTAACAAATGGGTAAATCAAGTTAAAGGATAAATGAATGTTAATTTTACTATTATATTTGTTTAACTATTCTGTAGATTTGAAGCTTTTCAAAATGAAGGTCGAGGGCACAAGGTTTAGCACTCTACCAAGGGTGACAAAAAAAAAAAAAAATCTAGCAATTCGATTTTTGGGCATATTCCAGAAGAATAAGTAGGGATGCAGACAGATATTTATATAGCCATGTTTATAGTAGCACTAGTAATAATAGCTAAAAGGTAGAAGAAATGTCCCTCTAAAGATGAATGGATAAACAAAATATAGCATATACATAACAATGCAATACCATTCAGCCTTTAAAAAATAAAGTTCTGGGGCGGCTCTTGTGGCTCAGTGGGTAGGGTGCTGGCCCCATATACCGAGGGTGGTGGGTTCAAACCTGACACCGGCCAGCTAAAATAGCAGTGACAACTGCAACAAAAAATAGCTGGGCGTTGTGGTGGGCACCAGTATTCCCAGCTACCCAGGAGGCTGAGGCTAGAGAATCGCCTAAGGCCAAGAGTTAGAGGTTGCTGTGAGCTGTGATGCCATGGCATGCTACCGAGGGCAACAAAGTGAGACTCTGTCTCAAAAAAATACATAAATAAATAAAATTCTGACACACGCTAAAACATGAACCTTGAAGACATTAAAACAAATTGAAATAAATCTGAGTATGATTCCACTCATACAACATAAGCAAAATAGTCAAATTCAGAGATGGAAAGTAGAATAGTGGCTGCCAGGAGCTGGGTGGAGGAGGAAATTGGGAGTTAATGTATAATGCATACAGAGTTTCATTTCTATAAGATGAAAAAAGTTCTGAAGATGGATGGATGGATGGTGGTAATCATTGTGCAACAATATGAATGTACTTAATGCCATTGTATATTTAAACATGGTTAAAATGTAAAAATTTTTAATTTTGTAGAAATGTAAAAATTTTACATTTTGAAGAAAATAAATACATGAGAACACACAAAACTTAATGAATTAGAATTTCTTGAGCTGTGTGTTGCTTAAATTTGTTATTAAATTCGTAAATGTTTAAAACTGCTAAAAGCTCCTCTCTACAGAGCTTAGGTCCAATTATCTATTTGTTGAAGATGAGGCATGCTTTTGTCTTTCTTCATTCTATCTCTATTTCCAGCTGTGCTTCTGCCTATCTCTCCAATTCAGAGAGGGGAGAGTTGCTAACGTGACTGATCAGAACCTAAGAGATTCATTTTATTAGGGCCAGGCTGATTGTTTTAAAAATCCCGGGACCATTAGAGGAGTCAAGATGGCTGAATAGAACACAGCTTTCACCAGAGGCTCCTATACAGAGGGAGAGATGTTGGACTAAAGTGGACTCAGAGAAGCTGAGGGTAAGGAGTTGAGCACAGAGAGAAGAAAGTAAGATGCACATCATCCCCACTGAGACAAGAGGTGAGGCCAAGAAAGAGGAAGAAAGACAACAAAGATTAGGTACCCAGCAACTAGTCTGAATGCACCCATTCCCAAGAGGATGGGAGACACCTCCTCCAAATGTGATGTCAGCAGCAGGAACAAAGGATCTCTCACCTCACACCACAGGAGAGAGCTGCTAAATCCTGGGTCCTCCTATACCTCTGAGCTTAGATCCCATACCATCTCACATGAAATTAAGCAAATATTCCCCCCCAACCCCCGAAATCTTAAGCACATACCTCACCCTCCCCCCAATCCTGGTTGCCTGACAGACTGCCTCCTGCAGAGACTGAAGTATTTGGCTTGTTTGCTGAGAAGGCAGGGAAGGGTACTGTGTGGGTCACTGAGCTACAGTGTGGAAACAGTGGCTCCACAGTTTTAATTTTGGCAGGGAGAGGTGTGAACTTTCCTGTCTCCCTTTCCCACTAGAAAAGACCCTTCTCCAGCCCACTGGGAACTCTCAGACAGACTGCCTACCCTCTGAACTCTTTTGTGTGGGTGTTCCTCATGCTGCCTGATTAAATCTGACTGGACTCATGGCCAGAGCTGTCCACCTGGCAACCCTCTGAACTTGTTTGGGTAGGTGTTGCTTGTGCTGCTTGAGCAAGTTTGACTGGAACTTTCAATTAGAGTTGTCCGCCAGGTGACCCTTCAAAATTGAGTGGTGGTGGTGGTGCAGCAGTGAGGGGCAGATTCAGCAGGTATGTCTGTGGATTCCCCTCCTCCAGCTATCACCAGTGGGGAGCAGAGCTGCAGGTGTATCTTTGCTCAGCTGAGATTCCAGAAAAATACTGTGACTTCTTAGGATGGGTAGAGGGTAGACTGACATCAATTCAGAGTCTGGCTGAGCTATCTCACCAAGCCAGTTCTCAGAATCTCTGGCTGGTCTTTGGGACCTTTGTGAGGCTGTAGGGGAAAAGCAATTATCACAAGCCCCAACTCATTGGGGAAGGGGTGGTTAGCTCTAGTTCCTGAGGCCTCCGGATCCAGTCTTACCCAGCTAGTTTTAATTGCCAAATAGGTTAGTACAGTGTTTCCTAAGGGTCCCCAATTAGATTATCTCTCAACAATTACTCAGGGACAAGTTATCATTTCAACTAAAAAAGTATA